CTCCCTTCCTCCACTTCCTCCTCCACTCTTTCTACTTTACCCGTCCACTTTGATTTCCTTCTCGTCTTCTTCCAAATATTCTTCTTCTTCTTCTTCTTTCTCCTCCTCCTTCGCCTCCTCCTCCTCCTCCTCCCCCCTCTTCTTTTTCCTTTACTTCCTCCTCCTCCACTTTTTTCCACTTCTTTCCCTTCCACTTTTAACCTACATCTCCATCCCCATACACCCCTCCCCCTCCTCCTCCTCTTCGTTTCCTTCCAAATCTTCCGCCTCTCCCTTCTCTCTCTCCTCTTCCTCTTCCTTCTCCCAAATATCTTCTACTTCCCCCTTCCTCCCCCTCCCCCCTCCACCCCCTCACCTGACTGTCCCCTCCCGCTCCCCCCTCAACCCCCTCACCTGACAGTCCCCCTCCACCCCCTCACCTGACAGTCCCCCTCCACCCCCTCACCTGACTGTCCCCTCCCCCTCCCCCCTCCACCCCCTCACCTGACTGTCCCTGTGTGAGCCTGACTTAAGCACCGTAACGCCAAACTCCCTCGCTTTGTTCTGAGTTCTCCTCTCCACCCTCTCTTTGGCTGCGTTGGGTAGCTGTGTGTCTAAAGGGGCTCCTGTCACAGAAAACTCATGCAAGAACTTCTGTTGATGTGAATAGAGAGTCTCTCTTTTTCCTCTTGTTCTTTTCTTTACTTTTTGTCTTCATTTTTTTTTTTTTTTTTTTTTTTTTTAGTTTGAGGGGGAAAAAAACACCCAAAATCGATCGGGACTTGAGACGAGACGAGATCAGCTGATGCTCCTCTCTTGCTTTACAATCTCTCTGTAATCACTTTGCGTTTGTCTTGCTTGCCTCGCGGAGCTCCCCTGTTTTCTCCCTTTTAGACGAGGAGAGCGCGGTGGGGGGGAGGGGAGGGGAGGGGTTGTCCGGGGGAGAGGAGGACTCTCTTGAGCCGCAGCGGGGCGAGAGCCTGGCCGGCCTGTGCCGCGGCAGGCGTTCATGGTTTGAGTTCATGGCGTGACGTGGGCTTTCATCATGTGGTGCGCTGAGGCGGCGCCGCGCTACTGAGGACGGCCCTTGAGGCGTCGGCTTTCATTCTAGAGACTTTGGCGCAATCCTGCGCTGCGCAGGGGCTCTGCTGGTCATCCTTCTGACCGTAAAGGGAAGCGCGGACGCCCATCCCTGGCGTCGAGAGCCGCTCCGCCGTCAGGAGGCCCGGCGCCGTCTTGGCCCGCCCACCCGGGTCGTCGCCGCGCGCCCAGGGCAGCGTGGCTGGTGCGAGTGCGTGAGTGAGTGTCCGTCACGGTGCCATGCTCCTTTGACGCCCACGCGGCGGGGAGATCAGTCCCCTCGGAGGTGGGCGCCTTCCGACCCTCTCCCTCGCCAAAATAACAAAAATAAAGTAGACAGACAAAAAAAGGCACAACAAAAAATAATAGTAATAATAATGATTATAATAATGTATATATCCACCACTTCTGCTTCGTGCACGAACAGAGTTCGTGTTCACCTTGCCATGCCATCAACAGTGCCAAAATCCGACGTGCCAAACTATATAAATATGCAAAAAACTAATGACATGCAAAGCCTTAACGGGAGCCTACGTAGCCCAGCCGTGACGAAGGGACACTGGCGACAGAGTGCGCAGCTCAGCAGAGTATGACCGCGTGAGGCGAGCTTGACCTATGGGCGCACTAGGCCATGCGTTACTGCCTCCTGTGTGGCATATAGTAACCAGTATTTCCCTCCCCCCCTCCCCCTACAGCGGCGTGGCAGTAGGGAGTCATTCTGGGTAAGTGAATCCACCGCTTGCTTGTGTTCTCTTCCTGCTTAGCCAGAGAAAAAAAATATATAATATATATATACACATATATATATACAACATATATATACCCTGGTTTTAAGTTCATCTTGATCTGCCAAGGGCATTTTACCGCTGGTTTGGTCCAGAGGCAAATTTCCTTTGGTTGGAGAGAAAAAAAAATACAGCTTGGCCAGAGGCAACTTCACTCTAGTCTAAGTAATCCTGCTTGACTCTTAGGTACAATAGAGCATCGTATGAACTAGAACTGTTTATGATGTAGATGTTTTTAAATCTCCCTAGAGTATGATTTTACAAGTAGCACGAAACTTATTTCCATCTTTACACATCTTAGATTTAAAGAAAAAAAAAGTAAAGAAAAAAAAAATATTGTGGCACTTGTATTATGGGATTATGAACGCTATGAGAAGAAGCAACAAAATAGTTGTTGCGGGCGTAGTCTCACACCCATATTGCATATTACTTAGTGTATTGCACATGTTTGTTGCTCATTTTACAGATGATAGAGAAGCACTATTCGCCCCTTAACAAAACAAAGCAGAAAAAAAGGCGACGATAACAAATCAGCGAAGAAGACCATTGAAACGAAGAAGAAGAATACAAAGGAAAAATAAGATTAAAAAAAACAATAATAATAATTTAAAAAACGGAATCTTACAAGAACACAAATGATAAACATATATCCAAAGATGTTTAGCCCTTCACTGGCCAGGAAATTCCGTTGTTGCGATATGAAAGCTGTTACCAGGAGTGAGTTGCGTCCCTAGGTTCTGTGACTGGCCCAGCATACCATCGCTGGGAAATGTATGTGGATGAGGGGGCGAAAGAGGGGAGAAAAGGGAAGAAGGTATGTGAGAGAGAGGGATGGAAGGGCGGAGTGATAAGAGTAGGGCGGGAGGGACGAAACGTGGGAGAGAGAAAGAGAGAGAGAGAATGAGTGAGAGTGAGAGAGAGAGAGAGAGAGAGAGAGAGAGAGAGAGAGAGAGAGAGAGAGAGAGAGAGAGAGAGAGAGAGAGAGAGAGAGAGAGAGAGAGATTGGGGTAGCAACTGAGAGAGTTAGGAGGAAGGCAGGAAAGGGGAAGTAGGTAGAGTAAAGCTGAAAGAAGGGAAAAGGAAATTAGGGAGAGCATGAGAGAGTTAGAGAGAAAAAGGAGAAAGCCATTTCTGTGTACATGTATAAAAAGTGAGAGAAAAAACAGAGAAAGAGGTGGGAGAATAAGAGAGAGAGAGAGAAAGAGAGCGTAAAAGGAGCAAGTAAGGTGGAAAAGCTAGACAGAACAGAGAAGATACGGAGTGGAATAGTTGATCGAAAAAATAACAAAAAAAAAAAAGTGAAAATAAAAAAGATAAAGTTTCAGAAATTTGAGAAAATTGAATTCAAGAGAAGAATGGAGTGCATAGCGATTCATTATTATATTTTCCGTTTTTGTTATTCTGCTGTTTTTTGTTCTTATGTTTCTATTCCTCCCACTGGATATCAGATTCATCTCTTTTACTTGTTTTCATTCCACACAGCAACAAATGAAGGTTCCCTTTTTAGCATAACCACAGCATAAATAACCACTGAATTGGTGGAAATGTACAGACAGTGTTATGTCTTTTTCTCTCCCTCCCTTTCTCTCCCTATCTCTCCTTTGCTCTCTCTTTATCATTATTACCCCATGTTCAACTCCCTCCCCCCCCCCTCTTACGCCCCACCCTATATCTTTATTCTCCTCATGTGTCATTTCTTTCTTTGACGAAATACAAAGCAGCTTACGTAAGATTGTCCCGCCTTATGCTTTGATTATATTTATTATATATATCTTTTTTATTTGGTGTTTGTTTGTTTGCTTTAGCTTTTAAGTTCTTGCGTGGAATATTTGTTTGCATTTGTTGTTCAATTATTCTGATTGTAGTTGTGAATATATGTAAATATATGTTAGAGAGTAGGAGAGAGAGAGAGAGAGAGAGAGAGAGAGAGAGAGAGAGAGAGAGAGAGAGAGAGAGAGAGAGAGAGAGAGAGAGAGAGAGAGAGAGAGAGAGAGAGAGAGGGAGAGAGAGAGAGAGAGAGATGGATGTGAATTTGTATAATATCTGTACAAAATTCGTATGTTTACTTGTTTATACTAAAAACTAATACGACGGCATGTTTTCTGTAAAAGATATTTTAGCCTAATTTTATATTCATTATTTTTTCGTTTCTTCCCGTTGAGAATGACTGTTACAATTCAATTGAAAACTTAACATCCTAATAATATTTTTTTATAGCATATCGTAAAATAATATAAATGTATGTGTGTGTGTGTGTGTGTGTGTGTGTGTGTGTGTGTGTGTGTGTGTGTGTGTGTGTGTGTGTGTGTGTGTGTGTGTGTGTGTGTGTGCGCATGCATGCTCAGGTGAATATGTAAGTGCGAGAGACAAATGTGCGGAGACAAATAGAAATTGTCGCGTTTGTTTGCATGAGAAACTTGGAACGTGATAAAAACTGAAAAAAAATAATAATATACAAGGGAAAAGGACAAAGAGTGAGAGGAGAGAGAGAGAGAGAGAGAGAGAGAGAGAGAGAGAGAGAGAGAGAGAGAGAGAGAGAGAGAGAGAGAGAGAGAATGTTGTATAGATATGCATTTGCGTTGGATATGTACAGAATATATGTACGTACTTTGTATGCTAAAAGCTAACACGTTGTTATACTTGTTCCAAATCATTAGAATATACTTAAACGTTATCCTTTTTTTATAATTTGCCATTTCTTGTTGAAAGTGTTCGTCGCAATTGGCCAGATCTCTTGCCATCCCAATGTTGAATTCTGTGAAGACCTGTCATAACTCTACGGATTACTTACGCCTGTATTCACATTACTCACGGCCTCCTAGTTAATGTTGGTGCTGAGATTCTGATTATATTGTTATTATTTTTTGTTATTTTTTGTGTATCCATCATATGTCTTTTTCTGATTTGTTGCCATCGCTGTTGTTATTATTGTTATTATTATTTTTCATTATCATCCTTATTATTATTATTATTATTATTGTCATTATTATTATTATTATTATTATTATTATTATTATTATTATTATTATTATTATTATTATTATTATTATTATTATTATTATTATTATTATCATTATTATTATTATCATTAGCATCCTTATTGTCAGCATCATTATTATTTGCATCATTATTATCATTAGCATCATTATTTTTGTTTTTATTGTTTTGTGATCACCATCATTTTCATTATAATCATCATTATCATTATTATTATAATCATTATTATAAGTGTTCTTATCATTAGTATTGTTATCATCATCATCCCCATTTTCATTATTAGTGTTTTATCATTATTGTTATTAATATCGTTATAATTATTATCATTACTATTATAATTTATTATTTATTTATCATTATTATCATTATTATTATTATTATTATTATTATTATTATTATTATTATTATTATTGTTGTTGTTGTTGTTGTTGTTGTTGTTGTTGTTGTTATTATCATTATTCTTGTTTTGTTGTTGTTTTTGTGGTTATCAATATCATTATTATGACCATTCTCATCATCCTCATCATTAGTTAGTATTATTTTAATTATCATTATCATCTTTGTTGTTATAATTTTAATTATAATCATCATCATCATTATTATAAGATTTGTTATCATTACTTAGTTATTATATTGTTAATAATATCATTATTATCATCATTACAACTAGTGGAAGAAATAGCTGTTATAATTATAGCGGTATTAAGTACACTCATAATTGATGTTATTGCTGTTATTCTTGTTGTTAGTGTTAACATTAACACCATCATTATTATTCTAACCCCAATCTAATATCACGTTCTTCTTAGCCTTATGACCCTTGCTATCATTATTATATTGATGACGTTTTTAATATAAACAATATAATAATAACCATCACTGACATTATTTTTAAAAAAAACATTATAAATTCATAACGTCAGTCTTCCTTTCCTCATCTTTCAAGTTGTCTTCAAGAAGTGTGAGCCCCTCAAATTCAGAACGATAACAAGAAAGCATTCATTCGTAGAGAGGAAAATATTCTCAGTTTACGTTAGTCTACCATCCTTTTTAAAGAAAGTATAGAAAACGGAAGGCAAAGAAGGTTTAAATTACATCCTAGAGCCGTATGTTGGTCCCGTTGATCAAGGAAATTGAATTAATTACCGTTTTTTTTTTTCTTACAATCTAATTTCTTTCATCTGTTTTTTTCTATATTACGTTGCTCCTTTCATAATGGTAATGACAAAGGTAGTAACGTAATCATAACAAAAAAGTGGATGAAAGATGAAACATGGCTATTTTAAACGAATTATATATATAAAAAAAATAATAATTGCAAGGAACTAATCATTGTAATGATGATTAATTAATCAATCAATTGGATAATCAAATTACTAAATATGACAAGTGATTTAGTAGAAACAAAAAGACAAAGAAATCAAACTGAAGAAAACAAAGAAAAAATAATTTACTATCATAACCATCGACTTAATATCTTAAAATCATTATCGAAAATGTGATTTGATTATATTTATTCATCATTATCATCTATATATTATTTATCATAATTATCAGATAAATCATTAATGCATCTTTATCCATCGTTATCAAGTGTGTAGTAATAATCAGTTTTGAGTTCGTTATCGTCATTAATATTATCATAAAAATGCCTTATCATTGGTATTAATGATATTATAATAATTACCATTAACATCGTTATCATTGCCATTAATGTTTTTATCTCTGATGGTAATATCATTATCATTAGTAGTAATAGTATCATTATTACGATTGTTGTTGTTGTTATTATTGATATAAGTATTGTTATAATCATCATTATTGCTATTATCACATCAGCTACTACTATTACTATTAATATCACTATGATAATTATCATTCTTTATATCACGTTGATCATTATCATCATTACTATTCCTAATTTCATTATCATTATCACTATCATTATTATTATTTTCTATCATTATTGTTATCATTAATATTTTCTATCACTATCATTATCAGTAATTATTTTATTATAACTGCTGTTGTTGTTGCTACTGCTGTTATTATCATTACTATATTATTGATATTATTATTTCTATTATCATCATTATCATCATTGTTGTTGTTATTATTATCAAAATCACTGTTATTATTATTATCATCATTATTATTTTCATCATCATTTTCCTTGTTTTAGTGCATTATTATTCTTTTCTGTCTAGTTTTTACAAGCACCATCGTCCTACCTGTTGTGACGTTGATTCCATAATCACATTTGCTTCCTCCTACTATATAAAATGATCACCTGAGATTGGCACTGTCACCCACCACGTATATGACGTCAGAAGGAGCAAGATTGCTACAGCGGGGGCATCAGATCAGATAAGATATGCTTGGATATAAGATATGAATATAAGCTTGGAGCTTTTTTTTCCTACAAGGTAGATAAACACGTTGATCTTTATGCTGATTGGTTGATGAACTTTGCACATGTTCCAAAGAGCATCGTTAGACAGTGGTTTGATTTTATGTAGCAGAGATATTCAAGCAAGCAGAGAGTGATATATATATATATTTACTGAATGTTAAGCAGAAGTTAAATGCATGGTTATCTGCATGGTGCCCAGTTTAGCTGTACATTATATTTTATATATACCATTTATATGTATATATT